ATATATAGACGTGTGGTGAAATGTCGATGATGAAATGAAAACCGAGCGCCGCCAGAAACTACTTGTATTAAATAGCAGTGCTTCACAGGTGCGATTGATGATTAGCCAGAAATCCCGAGAGAACGAAAAGGCAGAGAGAGAGGGCGAGAGAGAGAGTAAGAGAGCGCGCAAAAGTTTAAAAATTAAAGAGATGGGATTATGGAGAGGGAACTATCTGTAGAGAATATAAGTGGGCAAAAATTGGGGCCATTTTCCAAACAATGATGAAAAGTGGCGCGTTTTTTGTCGAACGGACGAAGACAAAAATTAAAGGCATACAAAGTTACTGGGAAAATGCAGGGAAAATAGCCGATGTATGGGACACGACAATAAGAAATACATCTTATGTAACTAAAAACAGGAACAACAACAACCACAAACATTCAGATACTTAATTTGGTTGAATTTAAGGTCTGATTATGATGATAACAATGCTGATAATGACGAAATGATAATGAACCTGAGTGAAGTCGAGGAATAGAGTGCGTGGAACAGAGTGTGGCGTGCGGGTGATGAACTATCTCGGCCGGGCACCAGTACGGTTCAACCGAAGTTAGAAGTATATATATATAGAGGGAGAGAGAGAGAGAGAGAGAGAGAGAGAAAGAGAGAGAGATAGAGAGAGAGAGAGAGAGAGCTAATGAACGATTTTACCAACCGCAACCAATCGTCGCAATTATCCCAGCCGTAAATCTGTTAAGGAATCATAAACATTTATCTGCATAGATTCGTTTATTGTCTCCTAGCCGACATGGCGCGAGCCAAAATGGCAGCCTTCCCAAGTGTAGCGGCAGCAGTAAAACAAAACTGAAATGCGCTGATGATAATGATCGTAAGATGGTACGCGACGACTACAAGCGACACGATGCCGAACTGGCGCTATCGCCATGGAGGTACTAAATAGCAATGAAGAAATAACTAGTGTGTTTGACGTTTCTTGTTTGTATAAAAAAAAACGAAGAATTTCAATAAGTTAATACTGTCACGTATACACGTACACGTTCATAGTTATTGCTGATTGTCTTAATAAAAAAGAGAATCAGTTAAGTCAAAGAACAGATCGAAGACGTTGAAGATACACACTTTAATCCACAAACGTGGAACAGAATGTTCACAAGGACACACTATAAGACAGACATTATAGACGTGCAGTGTCCACACGAATGTGTGGACACCGCACGTATATAACAATTACGGACAGTACATTGTACAGACAAAAAAAGAAAAATGGAGGAAATAGCGATAAATAGGTCACGGGCATGACTAGGACGACGTAGAGTGAAAGCAACAGAAGGAAAATTCAAAGACGAGTTTTTCGAGGAAAGGCTGCATAGTGCTTCGGATGCTGCTAGCCATGATGGCGTTGTGTTATATGCGGCGATTGAGGAACGAAATAGCTGGGGGAGGGAGAGTATTTAGCTCTGGAAGTTATCTTCCACCCTCAAACGGCCACAGATTAACGGCGGGGCGAATATTAACAACAAATCGTTATGAATTACTATCGTCTATTTCTATTATTGTTACTGCTGCTGCTGCTGCTGCTGCTGTTGTTACATGAAGCAAAGAATGACAGGCGGCCTTGCGGTGGGCTGGTTGGTGAGGGAAACATTATTGTGTCTGGTGCCCGGCCGAGTTGCAAGCGAAAGATTGAGCGAAAGGAAGCGAGAGAAAGAGAGGGCGAGAAAGAAGGGAGAAAGAAGAAGTGTAAGAAAAAGACGTGGAGAGCATGGCCTGGATTGAATCCTATGTGAAATTATTTAGTGCAATTGCAGAACAATAAATAAACATTGTTGGTCTAAAAATCAGTGTGTTATTATTTTTCTGCGTTTTAGATTGAGATCTAAATAGTATCGACTTCTGTCACCTAACGAAGTACGTTTGACACAAATTGTAGCAGTAAATGAGTTTGTTACATATTCGATGTTAACGGCCTTCATCATGCACATTAGAATGTGCGTTATTTGGCATTGACGTATTCTTTCATGGACGAAAAACAAAGTGGGCCGATTTAGGCTACACGGTTTTCTAATTTCTATGCTGGAACACTGGCTTGGACGACCAAGCGTCGGATTGGAAGAAGGGGTCGCTAACGGCACATTGTACACAACCTATGTCAATAAAAAAGGCTATTTTTATTTTCCATATCTATTTTCTAAAAGATCTATACCTAAAGTAGTGATAAAACTCTGTAGATGGCGAGGTAATTGTTTCTGTCAGCTGTTACTTCTTGATTTGAGGTTGTCTAAATGTTGCCTATTGACAGTGTGCAAAGGAACTTCTTTCCTAGAGTGATCCAATAACATCAGTTATTGCAGAACAATGACAGCTCTGATGGCGCACTTCGATCGTTTTTTACCTCAGTAATGTCCGGTAGCTGGTTTCAGGCGCTACCGAGCGCCTTCGTAACTAGTTTAGCGTGGCTCTCCGCCCGTCAAAACCTTCACCCGATTGCATATGCTTACGTTTACTCTGTCGCTTTCTATGTTGCTCTATATACCTTCAAGTTAACAATATTTTTTTCAGATATAGGTCTCAAACGGAAATATTTAGATGGAAAAGTGTAACAGCATACCTAAGGTGCCTCTTGGTAAGAACGTTGTTCGAGACCTTTTTTAAGCAGAAAAATATTAATAGATCCTGTCGGGTTTCGCTGCTGACACCAAATGATCTATACAATTTGCTACGGTTTCTGGTCAGCTTGGAAAGACATTTTTTCCTACTTCAGAAAAGAAGAACACTTGTGATCGTACGTCCAGAACGCGGAAGCTCCTCCGATGTTTATTCACTAACAGAATGAGCTGTAACGTATCCTGTATTTGGTCTATATTCATATATATATATATATATATATATATATATATATCCACTCTTCGTTTCTACATGTAGTGACGACAATCTACTGCTCTAGAGTACCTATATCGCTGAGAAGCGAAGATGTTCGAATATGGCTGCTATATCATAAAGTCGCTAAATAGCCACAACAGGCAACTTTAACTTAGACGAACAGGACATTCGTCCTGGCTAACAATTATAGGCTGTAGCAATCTCTAGTTTGAAAGTACTGATGCTTTACGAATGTCGATACTGTACTAGTGCATTGATCCTGCCTGGTCAATTGCATAAATTTGGCCTAGACAAATGATGAGTGTAGACAACGGTAAGGGGGCGCCTGTACTGGCTGAATAAGTTCTTTTTCAAAAGATGGATAAATTCTCTGTGGTAGTCGTTCGTAATTGAGCTTTCGGCTCGTCTGCAGTATTACATACGGCGGCGATCTGTTCCAAAGTGGAATTCGGATTGGAACGAAGATAACTGGAACAAACAGAGCTGCCATTAGCAAATGTGCATGACGTTCTTAGCCGTATAGCAACGCATTGAAAACACAAAGAATATTAGCAATTTTTTGTTTGTTATAACGAAAGATAACGGGTTTCATTTAATACGCGTGTCTATACTTCGATGGATTCAGTCGTGGCGGTTTTTACGTCATTCATCAGCCTATCGACGCTTTCGTAGCGTTCGATTATAGTGTGTAGCTATTGCACGACTACGGCGCAGAGCCGTCTTTCAGACGAAGACCACCGCGACGTTCCGTTCAGTGTCCTACTATCGTCGTTCTATGTTACTTGTCCTATGGGTTTGAACAATAACAGTCCGAACAAATCAAGAGTACTATAGCATTGATACCTAGCACACGTGTGTATGAGTTTAGTTCACTACGGAAAGACTGTGTTCTTGTTGTTACTGTTAAATAGTACAGTGGTTATTGTTCTTAGGTCCACATCATTTTTCATTGTTAATTGTACATGTCCGCCTCTCGTACTGAATTGAGTTATGGAATGGTTGTGATTTTCATTTTTGTTTTTTTTTTTGCCATTTGCATCAGGATTTAGTAATGTGAATAGTATACGGATACACATAATCTGACAATTACTGTTACACTCCCTACTTGATGTTACCACTTTGTTTGCCTACCAAATAACCTGAAGTCATGCTATTCTGGTCAATTCTAAAATTTAAATGACGTTTTCCATTATTTTTAAGGTTCTTGCATGTCTTGCTTGTTGTGTTATGCGGTACGTCCTGTGATATCCGGATTGTTTGCTGGTTCGACATGTGCCTGTGTAAACAATGTACGAGACACCTTATTCCGTTAGCTTGTCGATTTGTCAAGCGATCTGTTCTGCACTGTCTCATCGTAACACTCCAACCTAGAAGGGCTCCGTTTTACCGCTGGACGTTCTATGTTTACTTGGCGTTGAACCATTATGGTCTCTAGGATTTACCAAGGATTAACAAAAAGACATGATGTTTGCCTGTACGTCGATATCCGCCACCTTTAGGTGATTGAGCTTAACACGCGCGTTTTGTTGAGTTATGCCAATGTTATATTGTTCTTTCTGGGAAAATCTGATTTTTTCGGTAAAATTTACGATTGTTTTCGTTGTACTGCTATTCGCGGCATAACTAGGCTACTATTAGTGGTTGATAGATGGGCAATGAACGCCGATGCTCGCGTTACCATCGCATAGCTAAGATTTGGGCTTTGTGCACAATGGAATACGCTTTAAATACATTCAAATACATCTATTGATAGCGGTTTGACCTTTGCCTAGACGCTATGACCAGTAATGATATATGACACAGTATTTAAAGTGTTCATCGCACAGTATACGCGGAACGGTCTACACGCGGAACGGTCTACACGCGGAACGGTCTACACGCAGAACTGTTAACAGAACACTGTAATAACGTGTCGTAGGACACGAAAGTATGGCTGCTGTTTTGCTTTATGTACGGCTGGAATATGTTAGACCCTTCAACTAGCATAGGTGCTCGCTGCTAAGAGAAATAACTCGGAAATACGAATGAAAAAACAGATGTCAGTTAATGTAACGCCAGGACGGTACGTCGTTCTGAACAAGCAGTTGACCTTTGCCGTGTCGAAAAGCAGCGAACGGTTCTTGAATAGGATTGTTTTGCGTTAATTCTGTATATGTTGATTCCTCTACGAATACAATGTCAGCCCCACATTGGTTGATATCAACAGCTCCGAGGATCTTGTCGTTTTAATGTTATCAAGCGGCAACACTAGTCCACTGATGGAATCGATGCATTGTACTACAGCTCTTATTGTTATTACGGAGCGTTTGGAGTTTCTGCTTGAAAAGATACGAACTTCGATATGTCGTTAATCAAAACTGGCATTCCATCGTCTATCATATTATCAGAACAGCAAGTTCGAGTTGCCCGCGAAGCATTTGAATTTGCCTTCTGCATGTAAATTTTCGACGGTTAAAAAACATGTGCATGTTAGCGACGCGATGTCGCGTCTCGTTTGTTGGGCTCTATATCCTCTGGGTTTCTCACTCCTCCACCCGTGATAGTACTAGAACGTATTTTCATTGTAATGTGGATTGAATGCACGCATTTATCAACGTGGATGAGCTTGTTCACGCTGTTTCCGCATGTTGCATACCACGTACACGCCTTGTACATTTACACACGTTATTTAATGTCTTATCTAAACACGTCTATACACGTTCAGTCTTAGTCACTTCATACATATCACGTATCCTATATGTGTTCATATGTAGTCCCTTGCGGGATGTATGGTAGAAAGCCCTGTTTCAACCTCGATTCGCTTACTGGCTTATAGGAGCATCTTTGGCAGAGTTCTTTTGTGTATGGGAGAACCTTATACCACATGACAGGTGTGACAATCTTTATTATAAAGGGAATCCAGCTCGAAATGCCAAATAATTTAACTTGAAGGGTCGAAAGATTCACAGAACGCTCAGCTACGAATTTTTCGCGAGGACTAGGTTAAACCGCTAAAACCGTTCTGTCTCAATCATCAGGTACACTGATACTTTGGCAGAAATACACGGATTCTATTTACGTTGTGGAGAAAAAGACTTCTATAACTATATTATTACTAGATTTATTATTGGGTTAGAAGGGAGAAAGACTGATTTTACTATGCAGATCTGTCTTGGTGCCGCTCGTACCAACTGGAGTGTAGTGAACGTTTCCAAATTGGGTTGTTTGTTGTTAAACATAGTTTTTCACTTTCTAAATCGCGTGTTACTGGTCTGGGTCTCTAAAAGGATTGTCGTCTCAAGCGTAAGCGACTGAGCCAGCATCGTCTCTGCTGGGACGCTTCGACGCGCGTATCGTTGAACCTATTGTATTCGTTTCGTCCGGGCTCTATTTCTGTGCATCGTTTACCTCAGTCATTGTATGTATCGTGCACTGTATAGATGGATGCACAATACTCCTTTATAATGTATAATATGAACTAGGCGTTTATTATGATTGTTACTGTGATCAAGTTTGTGTAGTTTTGCGGAGGTATCCTGTACGTAGCTGAATCATTACGTAGCTATAATATCTAGGTAGTTCATCGTCATCAGAATTTCGCGTCGGCAAACGGCACCAAGGAGATGTCGATCGTTTCTCTTCTCTTTCTATTGTAGTCAATCATACTGTGCCTTCAGCCGTATTCAGTCAGACGTTTACTGACTGAAGCGTTTCGTTGCTTTTTTCGGACCATCGAATTACCTGGGCCATGGAAGACAATAGCCGATGAGTGAGTGGACCTGTTTTCGGTGCTTGATACAGTCTCTTTCGGTTGATGATGGTTAGTCAACCTATTGGTATTTCAACTGTTGGGATCTACACAACCATTTAGACACGATCATTTTACTACCTACGTATTTTGTTCAATGTCGTTAGTCGTTCATTTTACGGCCAAACTATCTTGTGGAAGTTTCCGATTCACATACGAGCTCTCTTTGCCTTCGTCGTCATTAAGCGCTGTCTGCGGTAGTGAACTTGTCCTTTCACATTCAAAATAAGTTGCTGGGCGGCGTGCCCTTCTTAAATAGGTGTCAGGCGAGCTACCTATCTAGATATTTTAGGTTTAGCTATCTATTATGGATACCTCCTTTGTGTCTGTGCGTATGTGGGTGTCGGTATAGCTTGCATCTGTCAACGTAAACAGACTCCGGACGCCTCAGCAGCTCGCTTGTTGCCGATCAGATACAGAAAGGCTTGATCTCTTACGCCTCATAGTTCAGGAATAGGGCCACAACAATGTATTATGTTCTGACCCTCGCACTATGGGCGTCTATCTTTCTGAAAATCAACTATACATAGAGAATTATTGGTATTGTTATTGCTCATTATACTACGAACAGTGTCATCTTCCTGTGTATTAGCAATTGCCTATTTGTCCTTAGTTACCCATTTGGCCATTCGCTGTCGTACGGTACAGTAA